AGAGTATGTTTGTTTTTCTTTTAAAAATACTTTTTACTTTTTAGAAATAAAATATTATACAAATTTATATTATATTATATTTTTAAAATCAGAAAACTATTTAAAAAAAATAAACATACTCTTAATTTTGGAGAACTAACTTTTCCTATTTAGTATGCATAATAAACCTAATTTTTCCCTTCCTAGAATTCATACAAATGACCCTAATAGAGAGGAATAGACAGGAGAGGTTTGTAAAATGAGAAGAAGAGCGAAATTAAAACAATACAAAGTGTTGAGAGAGAAAAAAAAAGACCTTTTAGTAATTAAAACATTAAAAAAACTATATGATAAATAATAATAATAATAATAATAATAATAATAATAATAATAATAATAATAATAATAATAAATTTTCTTAATTAATGTGTATTCTTTCAAACTCATTAAGATTTGAACAGAATTAAAATTGATGGTGGCTTGGTTTAAATTTAAAAATCTAAAATTTAGGGAATGTATTGGTTTAGGATTTCATATAATTTTAAAAGACTTTTTTTAAGTAAAAAGGTTTGTTGGTATTTAATTAGGATTTTATGTCGCTTAAAAATAATCCAGTGGTATTCAATTTAGATTTTCAAGATTTTTTAAGAGTCCACTAAAATTTATTGGTATTCATTTGAGACTTTTTACAACTTAAAAACAATCCATTGGTATTAAAAAAAATATAAGGATTTTAAAAGATTGTTGTATTAGGGGGATTTTGAAGAACATTTTAGTAATATCTATAAATACCAAATTCATAAAACAAGCTCATCCAAACTCATCAGATTTTGAAGGATTGTTTGAAGTGACTTGTGAGTTTCTAGGTGAGTTTTTCATCTCTTTTTTTTCTATGCTCTTGTCTTCTCTATTTTTTTTCTCTGGTAATAATATTGCACTACTGCTCATATATAATAATATACTACTATTTTCATTCCATTCTTCTATTTAGTAAAAATGTAAATGACAATGCCATTGACTATTCCTCAGATATATAACACAAAAAATACTTGAAATTTTAACTTTTTTTAAGTACTAATTTTTTTATAACATATGTCAAACTATATTATTTTGGTGTTATTTTGGTTGCACTTGATTGAAGTGTTTGCTTTATATTTTGTTGTGTATGAACACGTTTTACAATGGTGAAACTATATTATTTTATATAGGTACAATGTCACATTCGAGTATGTATGAAGGTAGTGACATAGATAAAGAAGAAATGGGTGATGAAGAGACATATGAATACTTTTATGAAGCCATGTACACATGTGTAATAGCAATTCACGTATTAATGCATGTGTTGATTCAGTTTCTGGTTATGATATGTGATGAACAAATTAAGTGTCCATTAAATTGACAATAAATTACTAGCATGGGAAATGACTATATACACTGAGCATTAATCGATGATCTTGCTAAATTTTGACAAGTTTATAAGATGTATCCAGATGTATTTCGAAAGTTATGTGCAATTCTTAGAGAAAAAACACCTCTAGAGGATACATTATATATTTGTGTTGCAGAAATGCTTGCATCATTCCTACAAATTGTTGGTCAGAATATTCGATATTGTGTAATTCGTAACACATTTGGCCAATCACAATTTGCTATAAGTGAAAATTTTCACAAGATTTTGAAAGCTGTGAATACGATAGCATCTTTGATGACTAAATCAGGATCAAGTATGCCAACTAAAATTAGATAAAGCACAAGGTTCTTCCCTTTCTTCAAGGTATGTACTAATTATCTTACAATAAAAATTATAATTAAATTTGGCACTACAATATTTATATTTTTCATATGATAAAGTTTATATATGCTAAATTTTAGGATTGCATTGAGGCTATTGCCGGGACACATATTTCAGCAATAATGAAGGGGCGAGATGTAAGTAATTATTGTAATCGTTATGAAAAAATATCACAAAATGTATTACTGCTTGTAATTTTGATTTGGAGTTCATGTACATCCTTAGTAGGTGGGAGGGTTCGGCTTACGATTCTAAATAATGATAATAATGATAATAATAATAATAATTACTATTATTATTATTATTGTTATTATTTTTATTTTTATACTACTATTATATATATTACATATGTGATAAGTCTGCAATTAGGCCCTCTTTTACAACCTATATATTCATATTTGACCTTTATTTTACTTAAGTTTTACACTAATTTATACATTAATTATGCAGTTTGTTATAAAGAGGTCGCAAGTGGATTTTGGGCCTAAATTAATGGAAGATTAAAGCTTCGTAGCAGTCAGCACGGCCAGACCCATTCAACAAGCACGAGGGTGCTTCGAGCCCATGCACGGTCGTGCTTAAGGCCTTGCATGGACGTGTTCAACTACAGGAAACCCAATTATGAAGAGTCTCTTAGGATTTTCAAACACTATTAAAAGGGAGACCTCAGGCATCGTAGGTGAGACCATTTTTACATCTTGACTTTTGCTCTTTAATACACCCTTTCACCTCGGGGATCTTTGACATACTCGTGGCAAGACTTGGTGTTTGCTTTTCTCTATGGCTTTATTTATGATTGTTCTAGTTGTTTTCTTTAGTATGAGTAACTAGGTTCATAGCTAGGGCTAAATTTGATTTCCATTCTATGATTAGATTTTATCCTATTGCGTTTTTGTCTTAATCCTAAATAATAATATCGTCAGGCGACCGTACCTCGGTTAATTAATATATCTATAGGATAAAACGAGACAAAAGATTAGGTGGACCAAACCAATCTCTCTCTTCTAAATGTTATTAATTAACAAGTTCATAGGTTCCTTAAGCTTTCTTAAATTGATATCTTGCATGACCATTGAGGATATTAATTTAGAGAAAAAAATATTAATATTGCATAACCATTGGGTATTAATAGTATTTGTATGAATGATTAGTAATCACAAGGAAATCGAATTTAGAGTTAAATAGAAAAATAACATAAAAAATTGAATGAGAAAACTCATATGCTTTAGGTTCCTCTCCGATAAGTTTAACCAAGACATGCATTGTATTCCTTGCTCTTAGTTTTATAATTGATTTTATAAATTTTTGTTTTAATTAATTTCGTATATTTGAAGTTTAAACAATTGAATTAAGAAATTCTTAGTAATTAGAAAACAATCATTGTGGGATGATATTTCAGGAATTTAATTTAAGAACCCTTTATTACTTCTCGATGAGTACACTTGTTCTCCGAACAATATGTAATTAGGTAAATATTTCTTGGTGGATTATGAATTTCCTAACCGACGTTAATTTTAAGGTCTATTTCGAGGAGTAAGATATCATCTACAAGATTTTCCAGTTCCGTGTAATAACCCTAAAAATGAGAAAGAACTGTTTTAATCTTCGTCATGCGTCTTTAAGAAATGTAATCGAAAGAATATTTGGTATTTTTAAATTAAGGTTCACAATTTTTAAGTTAGCACCTCCATTTTTATTTAAGACACAGGTAGAACTTGTGTTAGCATGTACAACACTGCATAACTTTCTTCTCCAAGAATGTTGTTTTGATGAATTTCCAATTGAACTGATGGATAAACCTTCATCTTCAATATTACCGATTAATGAATATCATAATTTTGAGCCTATTATTAAAATCTAGGAGTAAGAATGAGAAGACGCTAATGCTTGAATGACTAGTATAGCTATGGATATGTGGGTGAATGTTATTTAGGAAGATATGATATTACAGAGAATTATTATTATTATTTATCCAGACATTGTTGTTTTTTATTATTTTTGTCTTTGACTTTTTTTAAATTTGAATATATGAAAAAAAAATCTTAAACTTTTTATGTAAAAAATTCACGAAATTCTGTAAAGTCCACAAAGTCCTATAGAATCCACTAAAATTCTGACTTAAAAGTCTTGCAGAATCTATTAAAATCCTAATTTAAAGTCATACAGAATCCTTTAAAGCCTTAAAAGTCATAAAAATCTTGCAAAATCTTTTAAAATTTGCAGGACTTTTTTTAACTAAAAAAATCCTTTAAAATCCTAATCCAATACACTTCTTTAATTTAAGATAGTAGAGATGAATCAATTTTGGAAAAGTCAGTTTCTAAACTTTTGAATTAAAAATTAAAAAAAAAATCAAATCCCAATATATGGATTGACCAGTGATTACCTCTCAATCCTAACCCTAACTATTAAGTAAATTGTGAAGGATTATAGGCCCTCACTCTTAATTGAGCTTAATAATTTACAATAATACTGTGAGACTTGGTGAATTGGCAGATGAGGTTTTGGGCCCATAAATAACTAAATAACAAAAAAACAAAGGTATCTTCTATCTAAAATAAAAAAGGTAATATTTTTAAAATCTTATTATAATCTAACCGATAAAAATTTTAATTTACAACTTCAATATTTTAATCTTGATTAAGTGAATATTAAGCTGGTGATAATTACATATTTAATTTTTTTATTAAATAAGAGGATTAATAAAAATAATATTATAATAAAAATTAAAATGAGACAGGATACTCTTACACTAATATGAGTCTTTCATTTAACTTTTATCTAACTGATTATAATTGATTACTTTACTAACTGTTATATATAAATTAAATGAAAGGTTTAAATTGAATGTAAAATTTTTTAAACTTATGTAAAAAATCCTTCACATATTAAAATTATTATTAGAAGATATCTCACAAGGCGTAAGAGAAATTTGGCATAATTTCACTGCTCTGTATAGCAAGATAGCAACAACACTTGTAAGGGATAAAGAAGTTCAAGTAATTCACTGCTGAACCGTAAGCTATTAATGTAATATTATTGGAATACAAAACATAAAGTTGAACTTTAGATATGTTTGGTAGATGAAATGGGAGAAGAAAGAAAGAAACTACAATAATCTTCTCCCATTATTTTAATGGAAATATTGAAGGTGGAGGGAAATTGGTTCACTGTTCTAACAGTTGAACAAGCAGATGCATGCAGAACGAAAACAAACCCCGAAACCTACGTGTTCCACGTTAACGCACTGATCTCTACAGCTTTTGTTGTCAAGACAAGGCCCTTTCCATGTTCTGCTACGCCTTTTACAAATATCTGCTTGTACCTCTGTGAAATTGATGAACAAAACAAATAGTTTCTTAAATTTGGATCTTCTAGTATTTATTAATAATAACGACATGGAACTTGTTGAAAAGATATATAAAGATACAATTTAATTCAATTGTTTTTCTTTTACTTTAAGATTCATCATATTGATTGAAAGACACATTATTTATGTTTGATAAAATATTTGAATATGTATTTGGTCCCTATATTTTAATAAGTTTTTAGTTCTAGTCCTTTCAATTATTTTTTCTGTTTTGGACTTCATATTTTGCAAGTTTTTAGTTTTAGTCCCTCTCACTAACATGGTTCCACAAAAAATTGAAACATGATAAAATCTTAGCTATGTTCACCAGGGATTAAAAAAATGTTGAATTTAGGAAAAGATAAAGAAAGATCAAAACTAATAGAAAAGAAGTTTGAAAAGACTAAAGACAAAACAATTTGTGGTTTGCTCGTGACCTATTGTTGAAAATCCTCCTAATATTTGAACTCCCTTATATTTTTTTAATAAATGGCAGCATTTTCGAAAAATAAGGCTATTGTTTCTTTTCACTTATATGCTAATTAACTTTGTCTATTTTTAGTTAGTGCTACACTTTTTAACTCACAGTTGCTACTTTAGCATTAACATAATATATCATTTTACTCAACAAGATGAGAGAATGCAAATTCTAGTGAGTTGTAGCTGTTGTACCCTGTGTGGTGAAAAATAGGAGGGCAAGACAGAGCAACACAAAGATGGTGAAGAATTTAGGAGCCGAGAAACCCATGTTTGATGAATCCAAATGTTAATGATGTCTTGTATCTAATGCATAACTACAATTGTGTGTTATATATATGACGATACAGCCACTTTTGATTCCAAAATTTGAGCATGTAACTCCATTCTCCTCTTGGTTCCTTCACCTCCATCAATTACAATGGCCTCAATTGTGTGTGTTGTCCTTTACTGATTGGTACAGCTGCATTCTTCAATTTTATTGCATGCTTCGCTTGTCCTGTGTTGCCTTTCACTTTAGGTTTAGGATGTGCTTCCTAAATTCACTCTTTTCTTGTTTTATTCCACTTGCTCCATTAGCTTATTCTAATTATTATTCCCAAAAGTGGATAATTTGATCCCGTATGTTATTTCAATGCACACGAAATGTCTTAGTAATTATACAACTATGATGTTATTATAATACCTTAAAGGCTTTGTCTGGACGTTATGTTTAGGAGAAAAGAGAGTGGATGGAAGACTTTTAAAAAATTATCTCTCTTTGAGAGTTTTAAAAATAAGAGAAAAGGATTTAAGGTTTTTTAGACATTCTCCAAAACATCTTTTTGAATTTTTCAGTTTTTTTCATTTGGGACTTAGGATTAACATCTAAATAAAGGAGTTTAATTACCCTTTCTTATCTTTTAAACTTTTTTCTTCTTTCTTCCAAACTCTAAAAAAACATAGAAGAATGCATTTTGAAAGTGGGGAAAAGAACCCTTTGAGAAATTGCATTTGTAAATGAATTTTGTACAAAAATTTACATAAGAAAAAAAATGTAAAATATAATGATTGATGGGATGGAAAGAGAAGAACAACTAATTTTATATTAAAAAAACAGTATAATATGAATACGTTTTATAAATAATACAATTCTTTTGGACTGATCTTTAAGATTCTAATGTGAACATGGAAAGCATTAAATAAAACATGGATGCGGAGGGTTTTTCTTTTTTTTCCTTGTTGAAGAGTGAACATGCCAAAAAATAAAATAAAAAATACATGGCTAGATGAGGAGGGAAAAGGTATAGTGTTAAAAATAGAATCAGTCCCCTGTTTCTTGTATATATTGAGAATAAAATAAATCTTTTAACTGCACCTAACTAGAATTTGTAATTACGACATGTAAATAACCTTGTATTGTATAAAGAGAAATTCAGAATCATAGTGATATGGTCGGTTATTAGTTCAAATGTGTTCATCACTTCCTTTCATCCTTGTATGCGGTACCTAGCTTAAGTGTGCATGCTCTTGTAGTCTCAGATGTTCCTTACGTCTCGCTTGTTGGTGCTCAAAAAATTTTGTATATGCTTCAATGGTAAAATTTATGCTGCATGAGAATTTCAATTAAAAATGTTTGTGAAAAAGAAAAGGATGTGGGGTCATATTAATGGGTCTTCTCTTGCTCTTGTACATATTAATGGTTGGCCACGTGAAAAACAAACGACGCGTAAATTATTTCTTGGATTCTCAACCCTATTGAATCTCAGATGGTTAATTTTCACCCCTTTTCAACTGCTAAAAACACGTGAAATTACCCAAAAAACGTATTTACAGTCAAGATAATGTAGCAAAACACTTTCAATTGTAACTTGATATTGCAAATTATAAACAAGGTAATATGTCCATTTGGGACAATTATTTTGATTTTCTGGATTTATGGGCAGAGCATTCTTCCATCTTACACGCTAATGTCCTTACAAATTCATTAACTGTTATTAAAAAAGTGTATAAGATCAACCAACGTGACCAACTTATCATGAAGCTTCGTCCTGATTTTTGATAGGGTCCAAGATGAAGACGGGCTGAGGGAAACTTTGGTCCAAGATGAGGTTACTGGACCTAAGTTATGGAAATTGTATTTCCTTAAGAGAAAGAAGAATATTTAGGTTGTTGAACTGTGTAACGTGCATAAGGAAGAAACAATTGGCGGGAGAGTTAGTTGGAGCATCAACACACGTGACAGATGATTCGGAAATAGTGGAGACCAGGCGCAGCACTCGTGAAAGGAAGCCGCCCAACTATAAATAAAAAGATTATGAACTGAATTGAGCATGGAAAATGGTATTTGGCTTCCTTCTGATATAGTTCATTCCTTCTAATTATTATATTCTCTCTAATTCTCTGATCAACTCTCCTTCATTGATAAGTTCTCGATTCTTCTATTCTTCAATTCTCAAGTTCTAAGGCGTACTTGAAAGCTCTGGAAATTTTTTTGAAGTATTTCTTCTTTTGTTTCATTTTGCTCTGTTTCTGAATTCGAAGTTACTATTTTCATTCATAAAAATCTATATCTGTTATATTGGTACTTTCATTGACTTCCATCGCTGAGAACACAAGGATGAGAGATTTGCAAAATGCAGTGAACGCTCATGCTGATAACATTCGTCGCATTGGTGAAATGATGGAGTTGCGTTATCAGGAACAAAATCTTCATATGGAACAAATCCAGGCTTCTTTGGCTTTACTTTTGCAGAACACTTCTCACCTTCATGGAAGTTCTTCGAACAACGGCTCCCCGCTGGATATGTCGGTGAATGTAGCTCTTCCGATCAAGGATATTTCCATGGGATTCCCGCATTTTGATGGTACCACGCCTGTGGTTGAATGGATCTTTAAGGTTGAGAAATTTTTTTCTTACTATAACACTCTAGATGTCTCTAGGGTGGATATTGTTGCGATGCATTTCGATAAAGAGGCAGTTCCATGGTTTCAGATGCTTCAAAAAATGGCGGTGGTGAATACTTGGTCAGCACTGACTAGAGCATTAGAATCACAATTTGGCCCTTCTCCATTTGATTGTCCCATGGCAGATCTTTTTAAATTGCAACAAGCAGGCTCAGTCTTGGATAATTCCATGAAATTTATGTCATTAGCTAATCGCTCTGTTGGTCTTACTGATGAAGCATTACTGAATTGCTTTTTAAGTGGTTTACATGTTGAAATTAAGCGTGATGTTCTTGCTATGTCTCCTCCTACCTTGTTGAGGACTGTCGCTTTAGCTAAGTTGTTTGAAGAAAGATATCTACCTGCACTTAAAACTGCTACCAATAATTCTACTCGTAGATACTCTTGAATCTCTTCAACTAGTTACAACTCTAATGTGCAGTCTAAGCCCACTTCACAGACAAATTTATCGCCATTGTTACCTACACCCCAAGGACCTCCATTGACACATTCAGGAATTAAGAAAATAAGTCCCGCTGAGATGCAGCTTCGATGAGAAAAAGGTTTATGTTATTTTTGTGATGACAAATTTACCTTTAATCATAAATGTCCAAATAGGCAATTCATGTTTTTACAGTTGGAAGTGGATGAGTGTGATGACACTGTTGTTATTAATGAGTCCAAATCTATTACTGAAATCGAGGGCAATGATGCTGATGATCATCATTTATCTTTAAATGCATTGAAGGGTGGGATTGGAGTTGGTACTGTACGATTTATGGCTTATATTGATAAAATGCCAGTTTCTGTCCTAGTTGATGTAGGTAGTTCAGATAATTTCTTGTAGCCTAGGGTTGCTAAGTTTTTGAAATTACCTCTCGAACCTGCCACCTTATTTAAGGTAATGGTTGGCAATGGGCACTATATGACTGCTGAGAGTGTTATACCAGATCTTACACTACAAGCTCAAGGGAATACATTTAAAATTCCAGTCTTCTTATTGCCTATCTCTGGCGCTGATTTGATTCTGGGGGCTAGTTGGTTGAAAACTATAGGGCCTTATATAGCTTATTATGATGTACTACAACTCAAATTTTTGTGGAACAGTAAGCTTACGACCTTGCAAGGAGATTCAAATGTTTCACCTGATCATGTTCAACTTCATCATATTCGAAGAATGATGCATACTCTATTGCTAAGGTGTATAGCATGTAGTTAATAGAAGATAATTCTCACTCTTGTTCTCCAAAGCTAGCTCTATTATTACATACCTATAGTGTGGTATTTGAAACTCCTACTGCACTTCGTCCTTCGAGGTCTCATGATCACTCAATTCCCTTATTGGAAGGTTCATCACCAGTCAAAGTGAAGCCTTACAGATACCTTCATAGTCAGAAGGAAGAAATCGAAAAGCTGGTGGCAGGAATGCTGGATGAAGGAATTATTTGGCCCAGTAAAAGTCCTTTCTCTTCCTCAATTATTTTAGTTAAAAAGAAAGATGATTCATGGAGGGTAGTACTGATTATCGAGCTTTGAATGCCATTACCATCAAAGATACATTTTCAATCCCAACTGTCGATGAATTAATTGATGAATTATATGGAGCTTCCTTCTTTTCAAAATTGGATTTAAGATCTGGATATCACCAGATTTTGCTTAAACCTAAGGATAGGTTTAAAACTGCATTCAGAACCCACTTTGATCATTATGAGTGGTTGGTTATGCCCTTTGGGATGACCATTGCACCTTCTACTTTTCAGAGTCTCATGAATGACATTTTTGCTGGATTATTGAGGAGGTTTGTATTGGTTTTCTTTGATGACATCTTGGTCTATAGTTCAACTTGGAAGGATCATCTGAGTCACTTAGAAGTGGTTTTGTGTATTCTGAAACAACATCAATTGTATGCTAGGTTCTCTAAATGTTCTTTTGGTGTTCAGACGATTGACTACTTGGGCCACACAATTTCGGGTAATGGTGTTGCCATGGACACTTCTAAATTAGAAGCTATTCAACAATGGCCTCAGCCTTGTAACATCAAACAGTTAAGGGGATTCCTTGGACTCATTGGCTACTATAGAAGATTTGTTAAGTCTTATGCTCAAATTGCAGCACCTTTAACAGATCTACTTAAGAAAAATTCCTTCCAGTGGACTTCACTAGCTTCTGCTACTTTTAATCAATTGAAACAAGTCATGACTTCTGCTCCAGTCTTAGCAACTCCAAATTTCCAAATTCCATTGAACTGGAATAAGTGTTGTTCTCAGTCAAGACAAACATCCTATAGTCTACTTTTCAAAGAAACTTTCACCTCAGATGCAGCAACAATCTACTTACACTAGAGAA